CGCACACTAAATAACTAACAGACGCAACGCTATTGCAGCATATCACCAATCTACCAAATGACTTGTTCAGGTCATTGAATATATGTATGCGAGTGTGTACTGACTAAAAGCCAAAAGAAGTAAGATATATAACTATATATAAATAAATATATAGAAGTAATAAGATAAACGGCGGTTTTTTACACTTATACCTTTGAATTTGTGAGAGACTGCACGGATGGTGTAGTGGTTTAAGCGGTCGCCACGCCTTTTCCTACTGCGCCGAGTGTTGTGGGTTCAAACTCCACATGGGACGACACTTTGTGAGATCCACAAATTGTTGTTCTGAGTCTGGGTGTTCTTTGTGTCCCCTTCATGTACGTTTTTGAAGTCCCCCGCGACACAAGATATATTCCTAATGCGGGAGTTGTCTTTAAAAAATAATAATAATAAGGACTTTAGTTCTGAAATTTTCTATGATCCTGAAGTTAAAACAATAATAAATCTATAAAAATACAAGTCAATATTTGTATCTTTGTTCTCCATGCCTTCTGAAGTTGTCCTGCGTAGTTTGCTCCCTAAGTTGAATTTCTTAATTCACTTTCCTTAATTCCCTAAATTGAATAAATAAATGAAATAAATTAAGTTGGCTCTTGACACCCGTTGGATGAATAGGGTTGGTGGCATTCCGTATTCCTAATCCGTCACAACAAAGAAATTAATGATAATTATAATGGCGTGCAACAGTAATTAATTAGAACGATGTGAACTTATATAAATAATGTATGAATTTATCGGATCGTCCTTTAACGTCGACGCCCCTCTGAGCTCACAAGTGACCCAGCTCACGTTATGTACTCAGCAACATTTTAAATTGATTGACCGTTGTAATTAGAAATAGTTACGTAAAAGCCTTTTGCAATAAACACGTTATTCATGTGATAGCTGGGTTCGACCTCCATGTGGAGCAATTAAGTTACTGTGTGAGTATTCTATTAAGGGTAATTGTATGATGTATGGGACTAATCCCACCCCCACGCCCACCACTGTAACTCCTGTACACCAGGATCCACAGCAGTGACCCACAAACACACCGAGTTATGACACTTGGGAAGTCCCAGGAAGAAATTAAACTGTCTTGGAACCCGCAACGAAATTAATCAGAAGAAAATTGGAGGAGTTGGAAATACAGTAAATCCACTTCCCTCTTTAGCAAAGCGGGAGACAAAATGAATTGTATGATGTGTAATTGTATGATGTAGCCGAAGTTCGTATAGATTAGGATAATTTTTTATCCATGGCATAGGGGGGCAAACGAGCAGACGAATCGCCTGATGGTAAGTGATTACCGACATCTATGGAAGCCTGCAACTCAAGTTTTCAACTTTGGAACAAGGGGAGGAAGGCGGGAAATTTGGGCTGTGAAAAGCTAAGAAAGAACTGCTTAATATTTTTACTTAAAAATCATACAATGCTCTCCGCATCCAGTGTCATAACGCGTTCAGGGTACAGATGGGGTTGTCTGCAGCGCATCAGGGATGTTTGCGGAGGCTCACATTGACTGTTTCTATACCGTCATGCGAAACCATTCCGCAACCCTGATGCGCACATGTTGACTGAACATGATAGCGAGTAGACTAGATTGTCCATATATGACTCATTGCACCAGGGTTTCAGCCTCGCATGTCACTGCGAAGCAATGAGTCTAATCTTAATTATAAAATGTACTAATATAAGTAAGTCTAAATTGTTACTAATTAACATCTTTCAGTCTTAGTTACTCCAATAAACAATTTTATTATTATTACCAATTTGTTTACTGTGTGGCCGTGTTATTATTCCGCCTAGCTAGCCTAGCTTTCGAGCAGGCGCGGGCGAGGGGGAAGGCAACATACTTGTGACTCTTTGCAGAGACTCAGGTGTTCAGTTTTTCAAAAAAATAATTGATGTTTTATGTATTTCCTTCAGGTTTCCCGGTATAGAATGCGACTAATAATGTAAGGCTCGCTGGATTTTAAGCTAACGATTATATAATCTTTTAGCCGATCTACGTAGTAAAAGTTTAATTTCGCATGTTGGAATCCAGGTGATTCTGCTCCGCTTAATGAAGTGTCGTAAATCTTATAAGAGTGTGTGTACACTGTAATTACAACGCAGTCTAAAATTATCACCTCCATTACTCCCTGAGATCTTCGCTCCCCTTTCCTGTTAAATTATTTAGGAACAGCGAGTTTCGTCGTGGCATTATTCCAAATTATCTTTTTTTTTCACATTAAGACATTACGAGTAAAACAACTTAAAAAAAACAGATAATACTAGAATTTTCATATAGTATTTACCTACATTTAGAACTTGGAACCTTGTACCGATTCAATAAGGCAACACAACTTTCAACACGCATTTCATTTTTCATTTTTTTTATCTTATTGATTTGATGCAAATGAGTCAATATTGTAGGTAGTAGTTTGACACGGATCGGCTTCCACCATCTCCTTCAATTCAGCGTTATTCATCTGTCTTCCACGTGGTTTGTTCTTGAAGTCAAAGTTTCCATTACGAAGCGTTTTTACCAAAAACACACAGGGCGTTCATTAGCAGTCTCCTCTCCAAACGCAGCGTTGATATTGCAGCCGTTTCTGCCGCCTTAGTTCCGCGTTGGAACGAACCAACGAAAAAAATGACTCGGATTTTCGAAGTATCCATGTTTCACGTCTAAGTTAAATAAAAAAAGGCGAAAATCGAATGATGCATATTTTTTAAAAGAAAAACCTCAGGTATCATGTGAAAAAAGTTTCACACGAAAATCTCACCATGAAGGTTTTATGTCAACTATCTATTACTGTACAACGGCAACTTCATACTTTTACTCCTATTACAACTCATGGTACAATTGATATAATGTGACAAGAAGACGTAGCATATGTGTGTTGAGATACAAGTCAGTATTGTCTCATATGTTTCTCTGTCTCTGTTGTCTCTTCGATATCGTATCAAACCCTTACTCGTACAATCAATATTTGCGCAAGAAACAACCGTCTTCTTATTACACAGCAACCTTTTTCGATCGTCAAAAACCAATCTAGCTCATTTTATTTCTTCATCAATGGTACATTACTTTTTGATTACCAGAATATTACTTTTTAATTATTTATTTGTTCGTGGGTTAGATTCCTTCGAGCTTGTCTGTGTCTGAGTGTTGTTTATCTATAATATGTATGTATTTAGAAATATAAAATTATGTTTATCAGCAGTCTGGTTAGCACAACACAGGCCTTGTCTAGTTTGAGATCAGACTGCCGTGTTTGAGATGTCTGAGGTTATTACTTTACTATTATTACTTTATAATTTCGTTTTCCTATTTAACGCAATAATTGAGGAGTTATGCTTGGAAGGTGGACTTGTATGATAAGGCTAATGACTGTAGACGAAGCTCATGAATATTTGTATACTCGTAGATCAACCGAAATTTAACCGTGGCAGAGCCATGCTACGGCTCGCATGGGCCAGCTCGACCGAAGTGATGTCACGTCCTCACAGAAAATCGCTGTTAAGCGAATTTTTCGTTGCTTTTTACCGAGTGAGTGTGGTTACCAGAGCCTTTTCCCCCCTGAACCTGGGAGGCGAGGAACCCGAAGAACAGTAACGAACTTGTGCCTGTTAGTTGCATGTTTTCATGGGCGGCGGCAGTCACTCGTAGAGGACCGTCTGCTCATGTGCCCCCTACACAATAAAACAATCAAGATTTATCTATGTACTATTGCGCCAAAGGATTGAGTGGTTCTTGTGTTGTGTCTGGAGGACAGCGCCATCTAGTACAATGCTATCTAGTGTCGAATCTGGGAAGATTATAGAAATTTGTAGATTCCTTATTGTACGTGGTTCTCTCTGGATCGTTCCATCGGATCCTCGGGATTAGTCTAGTAATTTCGATAGCCCTATAAAAGCAGAGCGTGTTAGCCGTACGGGACAGTATTGTTTTACGACACAGCGAATTCACATCGAAGCGAATTTCTAGTGCGACCAACGAGTTAGTGGTTTTGTTATTTGTAATAGAGTGTTTGTAAATACAGTGCAACAAAAGTAATTAACCGATTACTTTTATTTATTGTATACCCTGCTCGTAACAGTACGTTCATTATTATGTCCAAACAGCGCTGTTATAATTTTTCATAATATTGTTATATAGCAAATTAATCCCTTTATATATATCCACAGTAAATCAAGTTGTCTGTCGGAAAAGAAAACATTTTCATTTATAAAAACAAAACGAATATCTGACTATAGTACATCGGATTAGGGTAAGACAACAACACTTATAAGTGATGGATACTAGGAAATCTCATGGATGGATGGACACCCACGGCTTTATTGTACAGCATCATCATCTTTATTGGTATCTGGGAAGCTATTACACGATATTCCATTTACGAAAAAAAATGGTCTAAAAGTGTGTTAGTAATAACCATTTGTCCGCATAGCTGGAATTATTTACGGTTAATGAACTTTGATGTATAGCAGAATGTGGACATGCCAATAAGATTTTGTTATTTTTATGATTACTAAAACTTCTTCTGGGATTTGTCTCTATACATAGACAACGGATTGACATTATCCAGTTATTATCTCGAGGAGTTGAGATGATAACTAAGCCATCCACCACGATAGATAGTTATCAAAAAAAAATTGCCTACAAAGACCATACTAAATCCTAGAAACCAGGTTCTAAAAACCACGGAGAGACAACTGCTTTTACTCTTGATACTTTGAGTCTTAATAGCTTTGTGTAGAAAAAAAATGTCAAATCCAGAACCGATCTAATCCGAAGTTATAAAACCTACTACTAGTTTTTTTTTTAAAGAAAGAATAAGCATGCCTGTCATAGACAATAACATCGCTCTGTCATTTAATACATATACCTTATTCTTGCCACGTTTGTTTCTTTGTGTTTCTTCATTTTGCTATTTAAGCATGAGCAAGCAATAATATCTTAGTTACTTCTTACAATTCAAGTATCTTTTAAGATGTATCTATCATCTAAAAGTAAGTGATTTGAAAAATAAAATATTCATAACACGTAATTAAAGTTACGTCTATTACGAATAACAAATGATTATCGCTGCGTTCGCTACTTCTATATTAGACAAACATTAATCATTTTGTAGACAAAAAGCGGTCAGGTACGACACGAACTCGTGCGCCGAGGGTACCCAGATTTTACGTAGATATTCGCGAAAATTTGTAAGTACCAAACTTTATCTTAATTTTCATTTGTGCTGTAAGACGTTTCTTTTTGCCAAATTTTGTGAGTCTAGGTCAACGGGAATTACCATATAGGATTTCGACCCAAAACCTATAGGGTACTTCCGGTTGACGTAAAATTGTCAATTTTGGTTAAAAGCAAGGTCTTACAGCACAAGTAAAGAGAAAATTTAGAAAAATAAAAAAAAGTTGAAAATTAAGTTAAATTTTGGTACTTCGCGAAAATCGAAATTAGCCCATATCTTTTTATCGTGTTGACTCAGGACCTTGATTTTTATACACCTCTGACCATAGACGGTAGAGGTACGGAACCCTAATAAATGAACTCGTTTCTTAGCAAATTATTTGCTTTTAAAGGGCTCCCATTTTTTTTTTTGTAACACGTTTAATTTGGTACTGTAATCATTGGTCCACCACTTTTTCCCAAGAGTGGTCGAATCCAAGAATCCCAAGAAAAAGAATCGATCCCATTATTCGTTTGATAAGTGCAGTCTGTGGTAGGAATGTTAGTCAGAGATTGAATGGCGTCGATTCGTCTAGTTTGTGACTAACGTCAGTTTTCATAACAAAATCAACGTAAAAAAAGTATATCGATATTTCTTAAAAAACTCAGAAATTGTTCTACTTAAGGATTGTTAATTTTATCCCATTATCGTTAGAAAACACGTTAAACCTCAAGCACAGATAGTTTATTATCAAAAGACAAAAAATATCTTTCTAACAATATAATCTCCCCGCAATTCACCACGAACTTAATTAGATAAAAAATAAGGGTAGAAAAATGCGAGGGTCTTCGGGGAAGGTGAAGCGGGCGGAGAGATAATTAAGTTGCTGACGTCGACAAAGAAATATATTCTCGTTACAGGGCAGGTGGAATAGAAAAGGGGGTAGGTAGAATACTCAGTGTATAGTTCTAGGTTATTATTTACAGTAACATGTGGGATAAAAAAGTATGTATGCCATTAGGAATATTATCAACCATCGCTTTGAAACTAACCACTGAAAAGGCGACGATGCAAGCATAATCTTCAGTAATAAACCTTTATGGAGATTAAATCAAATTTAATAAATTAGGGCAAATGGGGAGACGGGTTACCTGTTGGTAAGTGACTACCGCCGCCCATGGATATCTGCAACTGAAGAGTTCAAAAAAGTAACAAAAGAATTGCTTAACACCTGTTCTTTGTGAGGCCCTGGTATCACTAAGGTGGAGCCAGCCTATATATAATATTTTAAAGTTTATTTACAAACATTTCCATTTAATGTCGTTGCTTTTCACATCAACTCAATCTCGAGGCGTTTCGATTGGCCCGTACTTCAGTACGAATCGCAACGCCGATCGCACTCGCACTCGGGAGGGAGTTGATGTGAATTAAACTCACACTAAGCCCTCAGATTGCACAGGCTGTGGTCACAGGCCGAGGGCGTTAATTCCCGTATTTATACATGTATCATAAAACGAAAGTTAGTATAAAACATTTCTTGGTGTGTTGTGTTCTTTGATTTTAGATTTTTGTAACAAGGAGAGACCTTTGTTCAGCAGTGGACTGCGATAGGCTGATGATGATGATATACATTTTTAAACCTTATATTTCGTCAAAGTATTTAACTTTATAAAGTCTGTTAAATAATTTATTTTATCACATCCAACTATCCTATAGTGATACCACCTTTTGGCATTTAAAAGTCACACTGTATGTAAACTGGTGGACAATAAAATTAGGCCACCTACTCAATACGCAATCGTTACAGTGTATCAAAAAAATAATTTTTAATGTTTTTATTGATTGTGTGTTAATTCTTGAATAAAATAACGTAACGTAACCATACCGTAATTAATTGTATAATAATAATAAATCATAAAATTAGAAGTGGCCTAATTTTTCGTCCACCAGTGTAAATTATATTAGTTACACAACGACATTACCGGGAATGAGCCAACCTTCTTGTACACATTTTTTTCTGGAAACATCCATAAAAAGAAGCAATTTGCCTAAAGTTTTCTCCTTGCCAGAAATAGAATGTAATTTGATTTTTTAAATAACATCAATATACAGTGTAGGACGGGCTGCTATAAGAAGATTTGGTGAAGTGACGTCTTATGTCTCAAACTTACGATATAACAGAACCAATACAGACTTAGGCCTCCTGCGAAACGACCACACCATCGAGTATGGGTAGCCTAACACCACTCCAGGGCCTCACTTCTGCTATTTTATGGTCTTTCCGCACGCTGACACGCTATTGAGATGCCATTGACATCGGTCAAAATATCAGTATTCTACTAACATAAATTCACAGTGTTAATAGACTGTCGATATAGTACTATAGATCATCAATGGTGATATCAACAACATTGACATACCTGGAAAATTAAATATATAATTTTCTTACAAATTTAAAATGTACCGTTAACCAAACTGTTACAAAGACATCGATGACATTTGTATCAGTGACAAGTCTTGGTCTTACATAGTTGGTAGAATAGGAAACGTGCAAAACTATTCCGACGACATTCCATCAACAGTCTATTGATACAATATTAAAATAGCAGATTTGAGGCCCAGATCATAGACACGCGCGGAACATTACAAAAATTATTTAAATGGTTAGAGCCGTTTCCGAAATAAGTCATGACATTTTACTGTTTATAAAACTGCTATAGTTCATGCGGTTATCCGTAACTATAGACACAACAGCACAGGTATTTCTATGATTTAGGTAAATTTTGGTGCGAAATAAAAAATATGCCTCTACAAAAACTGATCGATCTACTCGTTGACAAAAAAAAAAAAACTTGCCCTCCCTGACAAAGTCAAATATTGCTTTTGTTACCCTCTCACAGAGTTCGCCAACATTTTGCATAATACATGTTCGTGTATTATTTCTTTTTGTGAGAACTTTTAGTTTGTGTGTGTGATGTTGACGGCTCGTCCCTCGAACGCGATCGAATTTGTTCTTATACTCGTATATGTATGAAGTTTGTTTCCTCTTTGACTTTCGGTCGAACCTCTGAGGCGTGTAATAGAATGTTTTTATGTTACTTTGATTTATCTTTTTTGTTTTGCGTGATATACGATGGTGATTGATACATATACAGTTACATTTATTGTCATTTTCTTCTTATACTTCTAAAGATTGATATCAACCATAGTGTGTCATCTATACTAAAATAGGGATACTCTCTCTACTTTTTTATTTGGAAACCCCCTCGGGCCGTCACCTCACCGGGGTTTCCGGCGGACCCACTAAAACCACAGGGTGTGCCACTCTGCGCCTGTAATAGGAGGTATCCGGGAACTGCTGTTATTAAGACATCCGGACCCCGAGAGGTGTGCCCCGATGTGTCGGACGGCCAATTCGGTTTACGAGCGGTGTTCGACAGTCTGCGCTGTGCTGCGTCTGAGGGCTGTGACCGAAAACGCGGTGAGCTGTGGCGGCGTGCTGTTGGCGGTGTCATTGGACATCGCCAACGCATTCAAAATACCGATACTATACTAGCCTGAAGAGTATTTTTTTCTTTACTAGTGTAATCTTGAAAATCTTTTGAAGTATTAGTCAGATTCAAATAATTATTTTTATTTTGGATGAAAGTAATTATTGAAGAATAAAAGAGGCTATAAAAACGGCAGCAGTAACTCTAGGCAGAGCAGTCAATCGCAAATCAAATTGAATTTATTTATTTATGAAAGTGATGAATTGTCTCATGGATTTTCATAAAATGTTAGGTAGACATCCGACAATATCCTTAAAAATGTAAAAAATTCAATAAATCACAATAATCTTAACATTATTCAAATTGCAGACTAAGATGCGCCTTTAATGATCGCATATTGTTATGATGTTTAACATATGGGTTTAGGTTAGCTCGACAGCACTCAAACTTACACTTTTTACATTATGGGCCACTTTTTAGATCATATTGCACTTCATTTTACACTTGCAGCTTGTGGGCTGACTGTACTCAAGGGTCGTACAGTGCCCTCCGAGTCTGCAGCCTTTCTAAAGTGCATCAGGGTTGTTTGCTGAACATCTTAGCATAAAAGTAATCATCGCATAGATTACTTTTATGAGTGTGTGATGAGTGAAAGATGCGCGCAGCGCCATCAGTCCCCCTTTTTTTTTTTTTTTTTTCCTTGCGGAAATCCTCTCGGATACCACCTATCGTGGCATGTCGGACATGAACCGACTAAAACCGCACGCCGTCTCGGGTACTAATAGCCGGGGAACCAGGTATATGCTAGAAAGGAAGCGCCATCAGTCCCCTGAACATGATCTCTAGTCGGTAGGACTGTAGTTACATCAATAGATTCTGCGCAATTGCGTACGGAATGACGCAGCAATGATTGTTGTGTGTCATATATGTATGTTATGTGTCTTTTATGTATGTCTATTTTTAGGGTTCCGTACCTAAAGGTTACCGTCCATCTGTGTTTCTGTCTGTCCGTCTGTTCGTCTGTCACCAGGCTGTATCTCCTGAAACGTGATAGTTAGACAGTTGAAATTTTCAGAGATGATGTATTTCAGTTGCCGCTATAACAACAAACATTAAAAAAACAGAATAAAATAAATATTTAAGGGAGCTCCCATACAACAAACATGTTCTTTTTTTACCGTTTTTATAGATAATGGTACGGAACGACTCGCCTTTGGCCGGTTATTCTTTGTTATGTGTCTAAGAATATTGTTACTAACAAATTAGACACCATGGTTTGCAATAGAGAATTATTATTACATGACATCTCACCTACCATCTGACGGCGTGTCCCCGCGTCCCGCAAACCATCAGGAGGGCCAAGCTTACGGCGGTATAGCTATAGCACCGCGCGCGCTCTTGTCATGTCAAATGTTACGCACTTTAGTCCCCGTTTTGGGAATCACCACAGATTGCAGGAAAGCAGATGTAATAAAGATGCTGAGATAAGTGTTTTTCTGGCATTGGGCAGGGCATTTTTTTTATTGTTAAAAGTTTATGAGCTGTCCTGTAAATTTCAGAATAAATGTTTTTCTTTATTTCTTTATATATCTATACAAATAAATAAAATTGATGTGTCTGTTTGTAATGTCAAACTAATAGATTTTATTCATGCTCACACGGTTTTTTGCTCGATACCTATGCCTAAAAACCACTTTAATATTTTTTTGTCTGTCTGTGTTTATTCCGGGTAATCTTCTAAACGACTGGACCGATTTTGATAATATTTTACTTACAGATAGCTGTCTATATAAAGAAGAAAAACCCTTTAAAATTTTACCCGGTCCGGAAATCGAACACACATTTAAAATTCCACGCGAACGAAGTCGCGGGTACCAGCTAGTCAAAAATAAAATGATGATGCTGGCGATAAACCAGTGCTAGCTAATAGACTGAAGCCTAATACTTGCGTCATTAGTTAAACAATAGATAATAACAAAAAACCGGAAAACGAAACCGAAACAATATCCTACATTTTACAATTATTATCGATACAATGTGACGGGACAAATACAATGACGTAATGGAAATTTAAAATAATTACATTATGACTTTACATACATTATATATTGATGACCTATCATAAGCATCATTATTGTCCACACAATATCATGTTATGTAGGTAATTGCATATATAATATTATTTATTTTTATTCATATCTGAGCTTAATTTTAGCCGTAGTAGCTGTAAAAGAAACCAACCAATACCCAACGCAGGGAGACAATAATGTTGGTTCAGAAAGTTTAGCTCAGATATGACGAAGCAGTCTGGAATATCTGGAATCTTTTTTATCTTATTGAGAAATTAAAGTAAGCGAAGTTGCGTGGCAAATTTAGTATATCTATACATACCTATAGTTAATGTTTTGTGATTTATTCACCACTAGCTGACTCGCGCAATTTCAATTGCGTCTCTGAAAAGGAATACATTTTCCCCGTTTTTGCAACATTTTTATTCATTCATTCAACATTCATATTTATTCATCTAATTAGAATAGTTTGAATATGATAATATAAATCCTTATTTAAAGATTATTACTTGTAACCGCTTGTGATAACATTGTTTTGTTTTTGTTCCAGATGTAGGTTACGACTACGTGGTAGACCAGCAGCCCATCGGCAAACTGTTATTCAGACAGTTCTGCGAAAGAAACCGCCCCCTCTACCACAAATATAATAACTTCCTCGATGCGGTTAGTATCTACACAATATCATGTTATGTAGGTAATTGCATATTTTATATTATTTATTTTTATGTTAAGCTAGATCTGTGTGCATGTAACGTCTAAGAAATTGGTTTAGTTTAGAATTTATTGCTTTGTAGGTTGAAAACAGCTTATCGACATTTAATATGTTAGTATACGGCCCGTATACTAACATATTAAATGTAAATAAATTGGTATAGTGTCTCGTGCTCCTGGCTACCAAACCAGAGGTCGTGGGTTCGATTCCCACCAAGACCCAGTCAACCATCAGATCCCAGAATAGTGATCAGCACGATTATTTGTTCTATTTCTGGTCATAATTTATCTATATGTCGGTTATAGCGGTAAAAACTATAGCACTCAGAGATAATATACTTTTCTAACAGTGAAATAATTTACAAAATCGGATCGGTAGTACGTTACCCCGAACATACAATTTACAAAATCGGATCGGTAGTACGTTACCCCGAACATACAATTTAACAAACTTTACCTCTTTATAATATTAGTATAAATATATGTGAATTTATAAATATGTAATTATGTTTATCAGGAGTCTAGTTTGGGCCCAGACGGTCGTGTTTGAGATGTGTTTATTTATCTCTACACTCTCTACGAGAGTATGCAATAGCTCACCACTGGTTTTTGTTATTTATTTAACGGATGGAACTAAATTATCTTCGACTAAACGTAACTTTATACGTAGTAATGAAGATGACAGGATGCAATCTTCATTTTGTGGTCACATTTGTGAGACTGCCTCTAAGCCTGACGTCACCCATTTTACAGATTTTATTAAGACATTATTAAATTAAAACAGCCATCCTAAAAGTTGCCATTTCTTTGGTGGAACACGCACTGTGTCAACAATTCTTTTAGTACAAAATTTTTAGACTTTTCGAACAAACTGATAAGTGTTGTCACAGATATTACGACTCCTCCCATCCCTTGTTGCACAGTATTACACTTCGCTGATCCGCTCCCCTTGCGATTTTGATATCCTCAAACATCTACATTAAAGTTGTTCAACGAGATGTCCATTTTCAGTACAAAGTCTGTTGGGTCTCGCTCTGTATTTCTCTTAAAAATAAAACTCAGCAAGGAGCTCCACCTTATAAAAAGCCAATAATCTGCTCCGCCGACGGGTCATAAAAATGTTTTAATTAATTAAACGTAGTTACTTATAACAAACGCCTGTTGGTCTAGTGGTTAGTGACCCTGACTGCTAAGCCGGACGTCGTGGGTTCGATTCCCAACCAAGTCAAATAATTGTGTGATGAGCACGACGATTGGTTCTGTGTATATGTATGTATTTAGAAATATATAAGTATGTTTATCAGCAGTCTGGTTACCATGGCTCTCCCTAGTTTGGAATCAGACAGCCGTGTGTGAGATGTGTGAAGTCATTATTAAATTAGCAAAAATACTAAATTTACACAAAACACTAATAATTTAAGCGAAGTATACAAAGTGAATGAAAAGAGGGACCATAATTCGTCACATAATTAGAGTAAAAGGTAATAAAAATGTCGCAAGCAAAATGTAACAAAGCAATTGATTTTATTCACTCCTAGTCACCTGGTTTTAAATGACTTCCGTTCAGAAACAAAACGTTTCATTTTATTATTTAAAAGTTGTATAATTTTCCGTAAATTGTTACGGTTTCATGTACAAAAGACTGACCAAAGAAGACCTCAATTTGTTTGTTTGAATTCGGTTTTAAATTATTTATGGAATGACTTGCCGTTTCAGTCATTTTTCATTGATGTTGTGTTGCATTCAGAAATGTAATGTAATAAACCCAAGCCATATTCTTTTTAAACAAATAATTTTAATCTATCCGTTAATATAATTTATTTACAACCATAATAATACTACGGCAGAGCTATTCACCACCATCACATAAGAGCAGACCCTTGTAGTGGTTATTAAGTGGTTTATGATCTTGTCTCATTCTGGGAAACGTAATCTTTCAAATTTGAATTAAATAAATATTCTTAGATTTTCTCTCTCAAAGCCACCCTTGTAAAAAATGCAAACTAAATTTGCTTTGACTTTAACGAAAACATCATCAGCTACCTTACTCATTTACAGCTTAACGATGCAGACTGAAATGTTTACCTTTTTTATCAGTATTGTTAAAGGAGGTTCTCAATTCGACTGTAAATTTTTGGGGTATATTTGCTTTCAATTCATTTTAAATGGATTGGGTAGTACACAAGATTGGTCTTTGTTGTTTGTGTTTGGTTGAACGGCCTAATCTCAGGAACTGCTACTTCGAATTGAAAAATCCTCTTAGTGTTGGATAGCGCTGTTATCTCAATGCAATGCAATTTTATATCAATGCAATTATTTTTTTTAATACAACTTCCGCATTTGGAATATATCCTGTGTCGCGGGAATTTTACAAACACACCCAGACTCTGAACAACAATTTGTGGATCACACAAAGTGTCGTCCTATGTGGGGATCGGACCCACAACACTCGGCGTAGTAGTAAGCGGCGTAGCGACCGCTTAAACCACTACGCCATCCGTGCAGTCTATCAAGAAAGTCTTTAGGCTATATTAAATAAGACGACCAATATAATCATCATTGAAAGTGAAATCTTTTTGCAAAAGGAAACTTGTAATTAGAGTACCAAAACCCCAAATAAAGTTAGTTACTAATTAATATAATCGCTACCTAAGGAACATTTCGCCGTCCTTAATCTGACTCAAAATCAAATCAAATCGAATCAAAGACGTTTGAAGTCTCGTTCGGTCGGGGATGAGACAAACACGTTTGGTAAACAGAGTCACCCACACTGGTGACAAATATTACGGCTCGACGAAAATAGTCTACGGGTACATTACGTATGTCAGTAAAGATGGCCACGGTCTTAAAGGAGAATTAATTTATTTAAAAATATACTTTATTTAATAAACATTTCCGTGTGGTGACGGATTAAGAATACGTAGTGTCACCACCCCTATTTATCCCATGGGTGTCGTAGGAGGAGAGGAGCAAACTGCGCAGGTAAACAGCACTACAAAGAGAAGGAGAGGTTGAAACACATCATGTACCAATTCTGGTCTGGCCAGCGTGCAGCCAGCCAGTCCAGCAGTGGACTGTTATAGGCTGTTGATGATGATGAATAAACATTTTGTAATTAAAACTGCTGAGACCGTGGAACTGATTGAATCAGAGGCTAATTTCGAAATTATCTATATGTTATTACACAAAGAAAATGATTTGTTTTTAATATCGAGTACTTAATGTTTATATGCAAAAGAAATGCTAGCTACAACTTTTAAGCAATGTATACCACCACATAAAACAATATTGATTCAGTAATATGCAGTATATATTTTTATTTCAATTAACACTGGTCAATGATTGTAACACAGGCAACCACTATTTTCATCCCGGTTAATCATTTGAACAAAGTATAGGTACATTTTAACTTCAAACGCCTATCTCGAAATATTTAGATGTCGATAAAAATATGTGTTTAATCACATTCCAAAGCCAATAAGCCAACTTTGTTACAATTTTTTTGAATTTAAGTGAAAATCATTTTCAGTTCAAAATTGCTAACCACTTTTTGAATAATTTAATTATAAAACAACCGCAAAGATAAATAACCGCTGTTTCTGAGAAACAGCGGTTATTATTTAATACATCTAAGGGTGTATTAATTTTAATTAATTAATTTTTACATTAATATGATTAAACGTTCTGAACATAGTTAATTTGTAATTAGGGTTGCCACCCGTAGAACTCTGCGAACTCCCTTTGCGAACAAATAATGCTCGCGAAGGAGAGGACGGAGTGAATCCCGGGAACGGGGCAGATACCGGGTGGCTCAGGAGCCGGCGGTCGCTGAACGACTTCCGTCCTCCTAAAGCGCTTAGACCTGGGGGTGACAGGTGAGGCCATCTGTCACCGTACCAGAAGCAAACCAGGGTGACGGTACAGCGCGTTACGCAGCGTACGCAACTTTTAGGTGCAGGAAGGGGACACCATGGTCCCCCCCCCCACACACACATATGAATGGGACCTGTGTAAGCTGTAGTGTGTGTACCTATGTAAGTGTGTAGTTTGCGCTCCACTACTGTGCGCTTTTCGAGACAATTTTTGCCCCGCACAACCAATCTGTGGAACGGGTTATCGTCTGCGGTATTTCCGGACCGATACGACCTTCAAACCTTCAACAAAAGAGCGTACTCTTCCTAAAAGGCCGGCAACGCGTTTGTGACTCCTGAGTTGCAGACGTTCATGGGCGACGGTAGTCACTTTCCATCAGGTGACCCGTCTGCTCGTCTGCCCACTCTAACATTAAAAAAAAAAAACAAAATAAAACAGCTGTGTGCTACCTGGAATTCCCTTTTTACTACTCTTATATATGGTATAAATAAAAGTATAATTTTTTCCTAAATTTTTTGCAATACTAGTTTGGCATGTTTCTTCGGTAAAAACAAAAACTATTTTGTTCAATAAAAGGTAGCAACCCTAATTGTAACCGTATTTGAACGCAAACAAATCTATTCTATTCTAGAATCTACTACTTATACCTTTAAAGCGGTCTAGACCTTAACTTACTTGTACATTAAGTGCATACTTGTGTATTAAGTATTTAAAATTATTACCAATAACCGGGAATTTATGCGATTAATGTTGTATTACATTTACAGTCCAATAGAGTAAATATATATTATAATACATATGGGAATGAAGTAACTCTGGCAACCCTCACTGAAGTATGAGATTCACAATACCAGTGATGTACCTATTGTCGTTAAATTCTTAAGTAAATATTCCCTTGTATCCAAGACATCACTTTCTCTTAAACATCTTATAATTCACTTCCCGCACTAGGAAACAACAACAATAGGAAACGGAAGATGTTAAGAATTATTTTTATACAGGAAGAAAAAAGTAATCTCGTGATCAATTCATCATCAATGAAACTGGATCGCATATTGGTTGAAATTTGACCATAATTCATTAGGTTTTAAGTGTTTTATTTTCTTTCCGGCGTTATGTGAAGTCGTAAATCTAATCTTAAAACTGTTCACTGAGATTCACTCCAGTGAGTGATAGCTTATTTCAGAAAGATGTTTATGTCGAAATATTCTCTCAAGCATAGATTTTGACAGATGTGATCTTTGTTTAAGGGAGACAATCTGAAACTGGGGTCAAGCAGTGATTTCTAGGGCATTTTAGGGGAAATGAACGTGTTTTTCGATGATTTGGTTATGGATGATTACGAAAGAAATTCAATTACTTGTCATACATATTCAGTTCACTTCAATTTACCTTAACTGATATTCAATTCATTTATATTCACATTCAATTACTTGTTTAAATTAAAAACAATTTCAACCTTTTGGATCATGAGAAAAGTAAAATATCATTAGTAATAAACATTTTAGAAATATAAAAACATAGTTTGATAATTCAACATGATAACTGTTGATAAATAATTAAAATTTTCAATTATAACTTATAGCTAGTTATTTTAATTTATTTTTGTTATAATTCATTTTAGGCGAGCACAAGCTTGTTAAATGTGTTTACATTGCAACACTAGCTAATAGTATATCATATTAAAATTCACAGTAATCATACTTGTAAAACATGTTTTTATAAAATTAACTGCTTGAATACTAATAAAGTCTATCATGCGGCAACGTAATTGAGAACAAACTGGTAGTTCAAATCAGTACTTGAGATTAAATTCAACTGAGTAAAAGTAAAAAGATCGATGCTTAAGTTTTGCTTTGAACTTGAAACTTAGTTCAGTTAGTCAGAGTTCGACCGATACTTGAGACGTCTTTGAAAATACGGGCCTTAGTTTACCTATAAAATTATCGCGTTAAATATAGCTTCAAGCTTATTGTAGTAGTTTTTACATTATTTAAAAAGTAAAAATTATCTGATCCGATTTTTGTATATTATAATGAGTAGCCAAATTATAATATAGCTTCTGTAGCATAAATAGACTGTTTTCTTGTACCCCTTTAACTCTACCAGTACCTACAGATGTGACATCTGTCATTTGGTTCAAATTCTCTGTTTGAATGTACATAGTTTTGCCCGCAGGCAGACCGGTATGAGGTTGAAGTGGACGAAGTGCGCGCGGCGATGGCGGCTGAAGTGTTCCGCAAATATTTGAGGACTGATGACTCCGAGGCTGTGACTGACGTCGTTGGCAAGCCTGTCATCGACGCGGCTTATGACCTTATCAATGGTATGTGATTAATATTATAAGTTTCATATATTAAATTAACTAATGTAATGCAGTATGCAGTAATGCAGTGGTTTAAGCGGTCACCTCGCCGCTTCCTACTGCGCTTAAGGTTGTGGGTTTCGATCCCCACATGGGACATCACTCTGTGTGATCAACAAATTGTTGTTCTGAGTCTGGGTGTTCTTTGTGTCCGTTACATGTACGCTTGCGAAGTCCCCCGCGACACAGGATATATTCCTAGCTCGGGAGTTGTCTATTAAATAGAAAAAACAAACGACACCTGTATAGATCAGAAAATTTTCCTCAATTTAACATTTTGGCTATAGCCACATGCAGCGAAAATATGTTTAAACAACGTGTAGTGATGACCATTTAAACTGCGGAGTAACTACTAAACTACTAATGAGAGTTCTTGTACCGATTACTTTGGAAATATACAACTGCTCACCATCAACCTTGACAAGTTGCATTAAAAAAAACTAACTTCGTAAGCGATCAAGAGAGAAGGGCTCTCATATTTTCCAAGCTATTCATTTTGTTACGGCCTGTTTGAATACACTTATTAATTTGTGATCGATAATTTTAATTTAAAAAAATTCCAGCTGGTTACAAGGACATATTCATAGAATGCGTCCGATGCGTCAAGAATTTTCTCGCTGGCTCACCGTTCGCGGAATTCGAGCGTTCTATGTACTTCCATCGGTATCTCCAATGGAAATGGTTGGAGGCACAACCAATCACCCAAAACACGTTCAGGATGTATCGGGTACTTGGCAAAGGCGGTTTCGGCGAAGTCTGCGCTTGTCAAGTTAGTAGAGAGATCTTAATTTTCAATTCTTGTTATAAATTCCGTTTTTCTTAATCCCTTAAAATATCAAAAAGTTTTAAATCTTGTTCTTACAAGCTCAACGGTGTACATAAATTCTATAGCGATATTTAATTTACTACGGTTTGACAACATCTGCATGAAAATAATAAAAAAACAATAAGTATTCAAACAAGAGCTTAAACTGTGAACTGTGTTAAAATGTTGTAGAACTGAATGTGGTTGAAGTATGCAAACACTAACCTATTTACCAAAAGTAAGGTAAAAGCCTCCTTTCAAAAACATATTTTACACAATTTGCAGGTTCGCGCTACAGGAAAGATGTACGCGTGCAAAAAGCTGGAAAAGAAACGCATAAAAAAACGCAAGGGAGAGATCATGGTGCTCAGTGAGAAACAGATATTGCAGCGGATTAACTCGCGGTTCGTTGTCAATCTCGCATACGCGTACGAGACTAAAGACGCGCTCTGTTTAGTGCTCACTATTATGAACGGTGAGCAAAACTTTTAAAACTTGAAGACTCTCTTTTTTACATGTAGAAGTATATGTATACATTTTTTCATAAACGCAGAATCATACTTAGCTTAGAATGAACTTTAGAATGCTATCGACTCTAGCTTGCGTAAACATACATATTAAGTAACATAAGAGACAACGCAATTCATCCGTGATAAAAAAAATATAATATGGTGCTAATTTTGTTATTCGAAAACTCTCTAAACTAAACTAAAAATCACGAAAAATTTGTTTAGTTCTGTCAACCAACGTTTCCTATTCTGAAAACGTAATATTTGATAGGACAATTTTTTTTTTTTGTGATTTTTAGTTTAGTTTAGAGAGTTCTTTTGAGTTACGTTACGATCCAGATCTAAACGATGTATTTATGATTTATGTTTCAATTGATTGTAATGTGTTTTGTGCATTTAATAAACAAAAAGTTCTCGAACAACAGAATTAGCACCATTGTCTCATATCTGTGACTATCCTAGTAACAAGTCTTTTGCACCCAAAACATAAATCTCTCCATTAAACGCATTGACTAAAGATATAAAACGATTTTTAAAAAGCCTTTGAATAGGTATTCCATTTCTTTTTCTAAAATTATTCATGTTGAAAGATTAAAATTAGATTTAAAACGTTGATAAAAGAGATCCAAACCAATCCAATCTCATTAGACAAGCTTTTACTATATTTATGCTGTAAAGAGATTTATAAATACAAATCTTGCAAATATTTTTAGGAGTACCACAGGGTTTTTACTTGACCTTATTGCTTCGATATCACCCCGACGAAGTGCTTTAAAATCAAATATATTTGTGATTAACTCAGTTAAATCTCATTAGGTTATAATAAAATTAATGTTTATATTTACAAACATGTTTTTAAGAAAGTGAGTGGAACATGTTTTGAAGTAAATCTAATCAACGTATTTAATAATTGCGCAGGTGGTGATTTGAAGTTCCACATCTATAACATGTGCAATCCAGATACGGGGTTGGGCCTAGAGCGGGCTCGGTTCTACGCGGCTCAAGTTGCGTGCGGACTTGAACACTTACATAAAATGGGTATCGTTTATAGGTACGGAATAAACTCCTCTTTCTTAGAAGTCCCTCTTTTATATTCTCCTAAGATAAGCATACTCTGTCTGCGATGCATTTGCACTGTCCACAATGCTATACCCTTGGTAGCAACTTGTAATGGTTTCCGATAAAAATTATCTAAAGAAACCATTCTTGAATGATCACCTTAAACTGAAAGAACTTAGTCTGTAGCACGAATTTTGTATTGATATTCAATATAACATAGCAAATGTACCGACATTTGTTAGTCACGAGAAAGAATCCATGGACTTAGTATTTCACAAAATGTGACCACAGAAAACCGGTGTTAAGCAGTTCTTTCGTTGCTTTTGACCGAGTGAGTGACGTCACCGGAGTCCAAACTTCCCCTGATTTTAGAGGGGATGGATTCAAAGCAACGCACTTGTGAATCTCGACACTTATGCCATAAAAATACTTCACCACAACCTGTGGCTGAATAAACCTCTTGAGCCCTCTAACTCATGACGTGAAATACACATGTACATAACACACACACACACAAACATACATATCTTATCATAATTAATACTTCTACCCTCAAAACCTTGTGCTTTTAACATTTAATAACTTATCGATATTCTGGTGCAGAGACTGCAAACCAGAAAACATTCTACTAGATGATGCAGGTCACGTTCGTATCTCCGACCTAGGCCTAGCGGTGGACGTACCCGATGGGGGCACCGTCCGTGGCAGGGTCGGCACTGTAGGGTACATGGCGCCTGAGGTAAGTCTGCTTGACCTACAAAAAATTTAAGCATTCAATTAACTTATGAAAACAAACACTTGGTTCTGATAGTATGCGATTCTCGTTACTAATAGATATAAATAACATCAACATGAATATCGCATCCCAAAGTAGACTATCTGATTCTCTTTTATTTACTCTCCAACACTCAATTCTACATACATTCAAATGAACTTGTATGGAAAAATAGAACCAAACTTTCCCACGGTACTCATGGGATAGTCTGGATCGGCTTGATCAGAGTGATATCACTGCTTTCAAGAAAACTAATTATTTCGGTACTTTCACCAATTGAATAATTACTGGAGGACCATTCTCTTAATTCTTTGGGGCACTGAAAGGCCTGCAACGCCCTCTTGGCTCTAAGTTGCAGTAGCCTATGGGCAGCAGTAATCACTTATTCAGGTGACCGGTCTACTCGTAACGTAACGTAGTAAAAAGGCAGTTCAGTTTCAGACTTTGACGATGCGAACCGAATAGAGCTTTTAAAGCTTGCTTTGACTTTTGATTGTTTCTACAATAACACAAATTTAATTTCCACTTATTATTATTATTATAGGTGATAGACAATGAACGGTACGGATTCAGTCCAGACTGGTTCTCTTTCGGATGTCTGGTGTACGAGATGATCGAAGGACGGGCGCCGTTCAGAGCGCGGAAAGAGAAAGTTAAGCGAGAAGAAGTCGATCGGAGAGTCAAGGTCAGTATGTGTAGGTCAAGGTCATCGATAATGTAGTCAAATTGATACTGAGTTATTACATTAAATATATATATTATTTATGTAAGTCACAAATAGCACTTATGAATATTAATGTTTATTTTGTTTGCTATGATCATTTACTCGTATTGATATTCTAGACTAGACTACTAGATACTGAGAAAATCGTCTTTCAATAAAAACTAAATTACATTATTTTTATTACAATCATTATTTTATTAAGAGAAGGAAAACTTGAAACAAACACTATACCAACCCATCTGGCCAGCGTGGTATAGTAGGTCAAAACCTCCTTTCTAAGGAGAGGCTTATGTCCAGCAGTGAACAATTAAAGGCTGCTGCTGATGGTGGTGACGAATATTACAAACAGAGCATATGAATTTACTGAAACTGAAGTACAAGTGGTAATTTTCCCTAAGACATACCTACATCCCTGGAAATACTTCTAGACATACGGAAACAGTAACATATTGCATTTAAAAATAAGAAGTCAATCTCATCTATTAACGTAGAAGGTCAAGGTCAAAGTCCGTTAAGGTCAAGGTTACTTCGAGGTCAAGGAATGAATAAAATAAGTCTAGGTTATCTTTTATTGACAGCACGAACAAGAAAAATACTCAAGCAAATTCAGCGATTGCGGTCGAGCGCTGTGCAGCGCGCTGTTGGTGAAGAGCCCGTCGGCGCGGCTCGGCTGCAGCGCGGCGCGGCGCGGCGCCAAGCTCGTCAAGGAGCATCGCTTCTTCGCCAACCTCAACTGGGCGCGCCTCGAGGCGGGGATGGTCGACGCGCCCTTTGTGCCTGATGTGAGCGCACTTCTCACAAACTACTAAAAAATATTCCTTATGAAATGAAATGGGTACACCTGGTTCCCCGGCAACTTTTACCGGAGACGGCGTGCGGTTTTTGGTCGGTTCGAGTCTGACATAACACCCGCGGGTGGTATCCGAGGGGATTTCCGCACAGAAAAAAAAACATTCATTCACTCATTCATTCCTTCATTACAAATCATTGTAACCGTGATGTATGATGTACGATATACAAGTTAGCGTTATTTCGATTGACAAGTTCAAGGAGTTCTGCTTTTGTAAAGCTTAAACGATATTCTGTGTAAACTTGCATGAAATAACAACCTATGACGTCATACATTGCTATTATGCAATTATTGATTTTAATGGTTCCTTTTACAATTAATTAACAAAATAATAACGCATCCAATTTTCCTTGGTCTTATTGAAATCTATTTTATTTAAATTGCTGAATAATTATTTGAAATTATTATCATTTTTGATTTAAAATTGTGATAAACACATATAGTCACTACAATAATAGATTGCTGTATAATCAATCAAATTTTTACCATAGACAAGTACCTTTTTTCCGTGCGGTAATCTCTGCAGATACCCGAGGAGATTTCCGCAAGGATTAATAAGGCAACTAGTGGACTCAAACCAACTAAAATCGCACGCTGTCTCATGCACCAGTAGCCAGGGTACTATGTGTAACCTAGAAAGGAAATGTCTGGTACTAGACCCCGGGCCATCTACGGCTTGTGCTTCTTAGTCCTTAAGAGGCCCGCGTGCTTCTCAACGCATCACACCGCCCCTATAGCTTGCTTCTGCTAGGGTGACAGATGCCCATAGACAAGTACTATGTTAAGTTTAAATCTGTATGACAGCCGCACGCCGTGTACGCGAAGGACGTGCTGGACATAGAACAGTTCAGCACCGTGAAGGGGGTGAACTTGGACGCGGGCGACGACACCTTCTACGGCAAGTTCAACACGGGCTCCGTCAGCATCCCGTGGCAGACTGAGATGATCGAGACTGGCTGCTTCAACGAGCTCAATGTTTTTGCCAGAGGTACTTTCGTTCTAGAAGTTCTTTCGCTCAAATCTTGAACAATTTTAGAAAATCTTAGGACAATTTGAGAGTAAGATTGACCTAACCAATCTTAATTTAGTCCTTAAACCACTCAAAACATGTTCTTTTTTGAAAATTGTTTTTGTTTAAGCATGTGCTAGTGCCATAAACATAAACAAATTTAAAAAACAAATTCACATGAATTAGTGAATACCGTGAATTAAACAAAATTGCGCTTTACATCTTTCACGGGATTAACTTTACGATTTTAACATTAAGTCAGACCTTTTCGTAAGATTTTGCGTACAACGCCATCTTGTGAAAACTGGCTAAACAACTTGGTAACTGTTGATGCTGTATCGCAATATGAATGTTGTCACGCTGATACGATCCATTCTTCGAGGTTCTCTGTGGAATAAAATTACAATAGCATTTTTTTTTTACTTTTATTTATTTGACGTGCATAAAGCGAACATATTTAATGTGAAATAATTTGTAGGTGATGACAACAGGGAAGCTCCCACAGTGGACCTACAGCTCGTTCCCGTGGCTAACACACAAGAGGAAGAAAAAGGCTGTTTCATGTTCGCTAGACGAGTGAGTTTTATACCTATTTAGAATATTTATATTGTTTACATAAAAACAACTAGGTTCAAAATCTGATTAGCGTAAATAAAAATAACATCATACATCTGATCTGATTGACGACTGGATGGCGTAGTGGTTTGTGTAACGGACTGCTATTCCAAAGGTCGCGGGTTCGATTCCCGCTCAAGTCAAACATTTGTGTGCATGAACATTTGATGTTTGATTTGGTCTGGGTGTTTCTATGTATAATATGTATGTATTTACAAAAAAAAAGTATATATGTATTTATATTAGTTGTCTAGTACCCATAGTACAAGCTCTGCTTAGTTTGGGACTAGATGGCGTTGTGTGTATGTTGTAGAATATATATATCTCACACGCGGCCATTGTCATATCTACAACTGGTATAGTCCCGAAGACTCTTCAAAATAGCCTCAACACATTGGAAATGCCAAAATCCTCTCTCATACTCGTACAAAAAGCAATCCTTCTTAATACATGCTGCACGCAAAGTTCTCGCTTCATCATCATGTTAATTTTACATCATCACTTTCTGGCACACTTGGCTAAGGCCTGTGTGTTAGATTTTGTTACCCCATTAAAATAAAAGAGAGACCAGAAAAAGGTACATTGCATACACGGCCGTCTGATTCCAAACTAGGCAGAGCCTTTTCTATGGTAACCAGCCTGCTACTACTATAAACATACTTATATATTTCTAAATACATACAAATTATAGATAAAGTACACCGAGACACAGAACAAATGACCATGCTCATCACACAATCATTTTTCCTGGGTGGGAATCAAACCCACGACCTCTGGCATAGCAGTCAAGGTCACTAACCACTAGACCATCAGGCCAGCCAATATTATAGCTTCAGAGATTTAATTAATTCTTATTGTATTAGATCGAATGTTTAGTAAGGATATTTAGAGTTATTTAACATTACGATACGATGCTGGGCAGAGACTATGACTATAAAATCTGGTGAATTGATTTCACATACCTGTTAAAATAAGAAGTAACATAAAAAAAGTTTTTAATTAAAAAATTGCAAAAATTCCATTCATTTCGATGATAAAAACAGTAGTGTTGTACCCAAATCATACAGGGTGTAAGGGACATCGTATCGAGTACTGAAATAGTGTATTCACCATGATTCTGAGTCGAAAATCATTGGAGTTTTGTGCCGGAGAATTAATCAATTTATTTTATAATTTTCCATTTTTTTGGCTAAAAATGATATCACAATGAGTAAACAGAAGATTTCACAGAAAACAAATACAATGTTAATCAAACAGCCGAAGCGCGCTGGGCCTCCTCCGGCCGCCAATTTGTCTTAGTGTGCGTAGTCTGTTTGCACGGCATGTAGTTATTACTTTTGTGCGATACCTACGGAAAATGACCTTTATCTTTGACAACTGATTGCATAAACAGTTTAAATTTCCAACAGAAAATTCTAATGATTTTAGACTCAGAATGATAATCTGAATACACTATTTTAGTATTGGTTACGATGCCCCTGACACTGTGTATAGTGAAATATTTCTTTATTGATCACTTTTTTATTATGCCTCCAGGTGCTCTGCCCTCAAAAGAAAATATCAGCGAGACTTCGAGCAGTGCCAGTCCCGGAACACCTCCTCGCCCCATCCTCCCCCCCTCCGAACCCCCAGCCGCAGGCCAGCTGACCACCATTATGCGACGCTGACAATCTCTAACTGAATCAATGAATCGATGTTTACCTTACTTCCTGACATTTAAACGGCTGTAGGTAAGGGAATGGCGGTGATAACATAAATTAGTAAACATTCAACAAAAACATTACACAAAACATTTGTTCAGAAACATAGTTTTTAAAGTTCAATTTTACATACGCTTGTATTTTCTCTCAGGTTAGTTGACAAATGACGTAAAATCCTTGCCGTGGTCTTAATGTGTAGTGGAGATCGTCATCAGGACTTACTGTCTGTAATAATTGGAAGTCTCTCACTCAATATTTTTAATCAAATAAGATTGTATGAAGTTTAATGTTAATTTATACCATGAGTCGTAGGGACTACAGCTTAATTTCAAATGTTTATAACAAATATTGATAGAAGATGCAAGTTTTTTTTTAAGTTTTAAAAGCAACAATGTTTTGTGTAAATGTTTTTTTAAAAGTGTTGAAGAAACATGCACTGAAGATTTGATTTCATTAGTGTCCTGAAGCGAGTCAGCTTTTTTCTTTCATATTGTCTGATCATGTTATTCATTGAACATGTCATATGTAGTCGTTTTTCATAGCTTTTACTTTAGAATTTACGTTACCTAGAAAAAACGGTCTTACTTCCTAATAACACCTCGAAATGTAAAAACTTAAGTGTAATGTGACGTTCATATGAATTTGAAACTTAAATACATAAAGATATGATGCATTTTAATTTGTACCTGTCGGTTAGTATTTCCGTTTTGTAATAATACATAAATATATATAACTAATGAGTTTCACTTATATCTGTTATTCACTTTAATATAATTAAAAAAAAATTCAATCATCAACCAAATTATGCAAGAGTCCTTATTTTTAATGCAATACGATTCAAAATGGTTTGTTTAATCTTTAAAATAAAAACCAAAGGGTGATGGAATAGGATTTAAAAAAAGTAAGAAGTGAAAAACAGATTTAAGCCACATTTAAATATAATTATTGATGACCTGTTGAAAAACATGAACAATTTAGTTTAAGTACAATTTTTTTTTTCAATGGCAATTATAAGTGTTGTCAAGATAAAAACGCACCTAAATTCCAAAGTCTCAATGTGGTAAAAAAGCATTTTTAGATTGAAGATCAAGTGTCCGCGTTCTTAGTGAGGGAAGTTTCTTTATAAATATTTGCGGCCTCCCACCCTCCCGAGACTGACGATGGGACCGTGTATCGAAAGCGAACGTATTAAAACCACGGTTTGGTACACCGTGGTTTTAATACGTTCACGGTGTACCAAATTGCGGCTGTAATAGGAGGGATACCGGAACAGGTTCTATTATATAAGACATCCGGACCCTTCCTAGCGCCTGCCCGAGAGCCTCCTCTCCTGGACTAGTACCCGACTGAGGAGGGGAATACTTGTCCCGTAAAGTGTACTTGTGTAAAGCGCTGGAAAGCCATCGGCAAAATTTTCATCCTCATTACCTGGATAGTTGGCGCTCTACTACTGTGCGCTTTCCGAGACACTTTTTACCCCTCACAACCAATCTGTGGAACGGGTTATCGTCTGCGGTATTTCCAGACCGATACGACCTTCAAACCATCAAGAAAAGAGAGTACTCGTTCCTTAAAGGTCGTCGTCGTCTTCTGCCCCCTCTGACATAAAAAAAAAACAATATAAGGATATTAAGATGAATTTTTCAGCAATTAATTCAGTATCACGTACCAAGGTAGCGTTGGACACACTTTAAATGTTGGAATTAAAACATTTCAGAGTGATGTTTATAAATTGGAAACGATTTTATTCACCTATACGGATGCTCGCCTCGTATCAGACGGAACTCCTTCATCAAACGCCTGACACCGACGCGGCTAGCTAGGCGGGACATCCCCGGAAAATAGACTAAAGTAAAACCGTTTATTTGTAAACATTCGAAATTTGTAATGACATGTCAATGCAGACACTTATAATTGCCATTGTTACGATATTTGTTAGTTCGACTGATATTATCCTGTAACCACAATGCATTTAGCTCTATACAGTAATGGAGTAGCACACGAACAAATATAAAAAAAAACATAATTTACAGTAGCATTTTATTATTTTATCATCAAGTTATAATTATTTTTTGATAGTATTATATTTCGATAGTATTTTTATTGATGACATGTAAAGAGATCGAATAGTGATGCCCGTGTGTAGATAGTAATAAATTTTATCGATAAAATTTATTAAAGTTGAAATGCATTTTTGTTAAATGATCCAAATTTGATCTTTTTTTTATATGTCATCAATGGGATTAAACAATGGATGCCAATCTAATGTTTTGACCTGTTTATTATAATCAGATTTTTTACCATTTACATATATATATATAACCTTTTTATAATCTACAATTTCTTACGTGTTACCTTTACATGTTATAAATGGAAACAATTTTGTATGTTTTTTTGTGAAATCGATTTAACTAAGTTTTCTAAATATGGTTGACGAAGCTCATGAATTTAAAGGATATTTCTCAACAGCTAATGATATTTGTCTATTATGATCGGACTTTATTTCTTGAATATTAAAGTTATTACATCCTCATCATGATCAACATCTTACCAGTGATCGTTGCAATTTATTCCTAAGTTTTTTAATATTTATGGGAGTCCAGCTTTTATTTTTGTTTTTTAATAAACAAATATCATGCTTGTTAGACAAAGTTCTTAGACACATGCGAACAGTTAGAGATGGTAAATAAATATCAGTGCATTTTACAAACTCGCTAATCAGAACATGAACGATGTTGATCAGAATAATCCACAAGCTGGTCACACCACAAAATTAATGATACCAATTAATTGTCTAATACGATCTATTTTATATTAAGAAAACCTCATTCACGCAGTTGCGTGCAAATATTAATTCTAATTTTTATAATAAAAAGGTGTTTTTCAAAAATTATTGGAAGTTCAGATCATTTTTAATAAATTATATTAGCTTTTGTCCAGATGGTGACTTAAATGGTTTCTGCTTAACTGCTTTCTGGTCTATTTAATAAGTGTATTGTCTCATAAAAAGCAAAGCATGGTAAGAATCTTTTTTTTTCATCAATTAAATTAAAAATGTGTATGTAATAAAATTAAGACAATCCAAGTTAATATTTTATTAAACTTTTCTAATATAATATATTTTTTTTAAATGTTTCAAGAAAATAATTAAGAACACCCGTCTTACTTCATAACCAAGATAAGTAGCAAAAAGCCAACTATGTAACAGTCCTAATATTTAATAAGCAAAACTATTTTCATACTAGTAATATTATCGAATATTTAGTCGATAATATTACTCGTCGATACTATTATCGACTTAAAGTTCGACAGTTCTTAAAGTGTTTGTTAGCGAGTTTGCAATTATACATACCATGTTTAAAGAATAATGTTATCCGCCTCACATAAAAGGTCAGTTAAAAACTAGATTAGAATCGAGCAATAATAATGTGAAACGAATAGAAAAAAAACTTAAGTTATATCTAATTATTTCCTGTTGTGGTAGTGCAAAAAAAAAGATGTAAGTAATTGTGAAAAAAAATAAGTGTTCTGTAATAAATATTTAAATTTAAATATGTTTGGTCCTCTCCCAGCTCCTTTTTGAGAATGTGAATAAAAAAATCGCACAAAAACGTCGATATTTTTATGTATGTCTGTACATTGCCACTTCAATGTGTTTAGAAATAAGTATTGATGCATTTTGATGTGTAACTTTTATTGTTATTGTATATTTCGATGCCTGTTGTCCGTTGGAAGGGAGCTGAATGCGTGTGACGATGGAGGCCGTTGCGGACGTTGCGCAGGCGCATAGGAGCTTGTTAAGAGGTGCTGCCTCTTATATATGCTGAATTTAAAGTAGTATATTACTCTTATCGATTGATGATAACGTACCTATAATTTTTGTGTTGCATTTTCGATAGTTTATTTAGTCCGTAAATAATCGATAAAAAAAAGTATGGAACTAGTCCGTGAGATAGCGTCTCTCAGTAAACGTTGAGTTAATTTTAAACGGCTTAAATGTCATCTGTTAAGGGTTTTCTCTGACTACTTACTAAATATATCGGTATATCTGTGGACTGCTCGCATTTATGTCTTGTAAGATGTTAAATCAAGTATATTCCAGAGCCAGGGTTAACTGGGTTTTAAATGGTTGTTGTAAAATCTTAAAGTATTTAAGCTTAATAGAAGGGTCGATAATATAATGCTAGAGGTCGAAAAATCACTTTACTGAATGAAGGAAAAAGTATCGATATTTAAGGTATGTGGAAGTCACATCACTACGACTACAGGATTTGATTTTTTAAAGAAAAAATGGGACGATAGCTGTCAATAATTTCCTTGCATGGATTAGAACGGCCTACGTGACCACGTTGGTCCTATGGTCGCTCCTACTCAGTGAGGCACTACGTGGGGTATTTTTGTTTTAGGTCCTTTTCTAGTGATGTCCAGCACAGTGATAATCAGCCCTTTATTATTAAATAGTCCAAGAATACGTAACTGATTTTTAACTAAATATGTATGTGGATGTTGAAATTATTACGGGTTCAATATGTTCCAAACGCGGCTTGACAGCCTTAACAATTTAGTATTAAGAAACTATTACTAATATAGTGTTTATCAATTTTCGATAAAAAAAAATGCTTGAGATACTAAAACGTAAGTTAAATCATTTTGATAAATACGTGACGTGTATTTAGTCCATCTTATTGAATATTACAAGTAAGGGCACTTTTGGGCTAAAAAACGTATATTACCTAAGTCTAGAAACACTGAGTCTCATCCAGAATAACACAGCTCTTCTACACAGCTGTTGTACACAAACCGTTATCCTAGTAGAACAGACAAAAAAACGAAATATTTCTGTAGCAATAATCAAATGTTAACATAGACAAAAGTATTGGCCTAAAGAGTGCGCGAAACTTTATTACATTTAAATGTTTTAAATAAAACTATATGCAAGTTCCTAGT